TTTTTTTTCTGCATTATCAATCTAGGACATGTCAATGATTGCTTTTTTTGAGTGGTGTAAGATTAAAGAATTTGAATGGCGACTATTGTTTATGACTTTAATAAAAGTTTACAACTGTCTGAGGGGCCTACAGACTGATACTACTCTCAAAAAACAAAAACACACAATCACTGAGGTTGGAATTTGAAAATCTTCTGTAAAACACATATTTTTGTCAAAAATTAGGGCATATCTTGAATACAGCCCAAATGATCAAAAATAAAATGGACAAAAATGTCACGTAAGGGTTAAACAAAAAAGTCCAGGTTTACACAAAACAATGATCATCATATCTGGAGCTTCTGCAGACGCCCTGAACAGACAGAGGTTGTGATGCAGTGATCCTGTGGCTGATAGCGGCTGTCAGGCTGAACACACACACACACACACACACACACACACACACACACACTGACCATTTTCCAAATAAAATAATGGCAGACAGGGTTTTTAAGAACTGATTTTAATTAATTCCACACGTCAATAACAGCTGTTAGAATACGATCATTTTAAACTTTACAGTTTTATCCTCAACAGGCATCAAATGTGTCCCCAGATCTGAGCATTTGGTACAGGACATAACAATCCACACCTTGACCAGTCCTCCCAGTTTCTCAGTGGCATCAGCTTCCAGTGCTGCTGCCCCCAACAGCTTCTTATTGTCCGTTTGCCTATAGGAACAACTGGAGGCAATTCAAGGCTTAATAAAATATTTAAATTTTATTGTCTTTTAATATGAACATATAAAAAACACAACAAACAAAAACATTTACATCATGGATTGTAAGCCTCTGCCCATGCTACCTTATGCATTAGAAGAAGAAGAAGAAGAGATGCCACTACAAAAAGACCAGACCCTCAGCTCGCTCTCTCTCTCTCTCTCCCAAGCTCCAGAACAACCTGCAACCTTCTCTGGCTCAGTTCCACAGTAGCAACCTGCACCGCTTCTCACCTTTAACCATAAGATCATGAGAAGTTCAGGAGATCCACTCAAATAATGACCTTCTATACCTAGCAACAAATGAACAAAGTCATTTTCATATGTATAGCAGTTACTTACAAATAGCCCAGTTCGAGGCAGGTATTAGAGTTCTTTACATTTTGCTTCAAAGCGTCTTGTATAGAATATCCTTTTCAGGGTCAGACTCTGATGTATTACAGGCAAAGTGCCATCAATCAATTTTGTGTGGATCCCCGGATTTTATTTTTTTTTCTTTCTCATATGTATATCGATTTTTTTTAAGCTGTCAAAAGAAGGAGAAAAATGGAAGACGAGATTAGACTCAATCTACTTTTTCAACCGTCAACGCTATCGGAGGATGCACTTGCAACAGTGAGGCCCTGGATCAATGTGTAAATGGAAATTTCTCTGTGCATCTGAGCAAGGCAAAAAAAAAAACGAAAACCCGACCCTGTGCCCATCAAACAGAAGGGGTGGTGATGGAGGGAAGCACGCCATGCAGAACTCCTCCCGAGTCATTACCCCCCCGCGTCCTCCAGGTGTCACACAGTGAAGAAGGTTTCACATTTTCTGATTCTTATGCACAAGATGAAGCGGTCACGACGGTCAGGGATCCTCGATTAATACTCACTACAAGAGGGCTTTCAAATAAATAAGCCATAAACTCGGGATGGTATCGGATGAAAGTGCAAACAGCTCTAGCAACACAGCAAACACCTTTTTGTCTTATCGCCACACAAATGCTGATGATCTTCCTGCAAGACGAATCTAAAGCCCCCCTCAACTACCCCTATCTGAGGAGCAGCCGTCACATACTGACAATATTAGTGCAGGTGCAGAGGAATATTAGTCGTAAGCCTACAGCATGTAGCAATTAAAGTCCAATTCTATTCCAGCAAATAGATACGACCTTATCTACATTGAAAGGAGGCAGAGAGGGGTTTGCTGGACGAAGGAACTCTGCTCGCTCCAGACAGGACTATTTGTAACCCAATCAATGACTCTGAACTCGGTGTGGTTGCACGAACTGACACTTCATTAAGTTTCGTTGCGTCAGACGTGTCCAGCCCACCGCGAGCAAAGTACTCTGAATGGCTGCTGTGACCCGGGTCGGATTCATTCAGAGGGGGAAAGAAAAGCAGCGTTCGTCCAAAGCAGAGCCATGAGCCTGGATCAATTATACGTCTACACTCAAAATCCCAGCAGCAGAGGTTGCCCTGATTTCTGCAATCAACAGCTACGGTCTGTACAAAACTACAGCCAGATATCATGTGGATTTACCAGAAACGACTGTTAAGAGAATGTAAAGCAAATAAATAAATTCTTTCAAAGCAGAAACACAATGTGTGATAAAAAGGGTTACAGCACTTCTAATAATGTTCTTCTGTCCGTTTCTCTGACTTGAAACTTATAAATGGAATTAAAACACCTTCCCTCAGACTGGGGTCTCCTCAACCAAGCCAGCTCAACTGGCCTTAAAACAATGGGCTCCAATCTTCACCACTCAACAACAACACAAAAAAAAAAAAAAAGGCACCAAAACCTCAAAACCATTTCCTGTCTGCCACTTCTTAAAATACGCCTGCTTTGGCACAGCTGCCGTACAGTAATTTTGATGTTACGCCCATATGGGATTCAGAAAAATCAACTCAACCAAATCCTGTTTTCGTAAATGCAGTATCGTTTTACAGACCACCCATAGGTTTTTTTTTTTCCTTTTTTCTTTTTGCATCACTCACACCTACAGTTAGCCTCAGCGATCCACAAACTAACTCATCTTCAACCAAATCTTTTGTTGCTGCAGTGGGGACAGAGCTGCATGGAACGATGGAATTAAAAAAATACGAAGCAAAAAAAAATGTAGGAAAACAATCTCCAGTGTAAAATTGGCTTCAGAAAGACTTGTCAACTCATCTGTCCTGTACTTCTTTCAAAGCTACGCTCTGGTCAGTCTGCCAAGTTTTTTTTTTTTTTTATGACTGAGGTAGGTTCTCTTTATCTAAGGACAAAATAAAAATGGAAAGCATCACACATTGAGGCCAGTACTGCGCTCTGCCTTTTCAAAATTAAAAGGATAAATTCCTGAAAAAACTCAACAAAAAAACAAAAACAAAAGACCCTTTCAAGCTTTGAATCATTCTGTGAACAAAGAACACAATAGCAGAGGTTTGAGTTTGCATCACACTCCAGGTATTGCTGCCTTGTCCTCCCCTAAATTACTCATGCCTTCTCATTTGATGTTTTTCCGCCTTCTAACAAAAAAAACTACTGAGGAGCCTCCATTTTCAACTTGCCTGTTCATCACAAACGTGACAAAAAATCCGAGACGCAAACATTGTACGCCCATGGCTAAAAGGAGCCCGCGATTCCAAGTCATATACAAAGAGAGATGAGGGGGTTAGAGAGGGAATAGTCTGGAAATAGAGAAGCAAGGGTGGTGATGGTGGTGGTGGTGTTGGTGGTGTGGTGGGGTGCTCAATCCATTCAGTCTCTTTAGCAGAGGCAGGACGGTACAGATATTCACTGCGTGACGATTGGCCAGAAAGAGTTAGAGTTGCTTCCAGTGGTGCACAGTACAAAGAGGAATCCTTATCACTCTAGACTGAAGATTCATTAACAGTGCATGTTTGAGGGTGTGTTTGTCTTGTCTGGATATAAACCAGAGCTGCTAAAAGGCTCTGATGTCTGGGCATGAGGGAGGGTTGTTGTTGCATCTAGTGGATTACTGTGTTCCTGTCCTCAAGTTTCAAGCCCCCTGCCTCTCTGTCTGTGTGTGTGTGTCAGTCTATGAGGGGACAGAGCTGCAGGGTCAGTAGGCAGTGACTAGGTCCTTGTCGTAGTTGTATCGGCCCCTCTTTGGGGCGGGACTGTCGGCGCTGTCCTCAGTGTCCTCGCTGTCGCCTCCAGCCCCGCCCCCCTCCTCCTCAGAGGACGAGTCAAGAGTCAGATCTACCACCACACCTCCTCCCGGTGCCACGGCAGGTCCTCCCGTGACTCCCGCCATCCCCGCCGAACCGCTTCCAGATTTGCCCGTCAGACTGGTGCTGCTGTGGGCCGGTGAATGACCGTTTGCTTCAGGAATGCCTGCAGAGAGAAATGCCATTGTGAGAGATGATTAGAACAAGGATTTACTGGTAAAATATAGCAAACGGTAGCGATCGATTGATGTGGTTTTTCCAAGGCCGATGCTGCAACCAACAATTGGAAATAAAGACAGATTAGTGATATACATTGAACATGGTATATTAACAGCAACTGATGGCAGGAAACTTGTCTTTATAATTAGGTTTCCTCAGTAATAAGGATGAATTTGCTGAATATGTACAACACAAATAGGGATGAAGACATCACATGGTTCTAGGACCTTTTCCTCTGTTTACTACAGGACTGATTGAGATCGTACAGTTTGTCTTTTGCCGTTCCGTTAGTTGTTCTGTTTTCTCAACCTTTCACTATTCTACCACTTCTGTTGCCCACTAAGGCCCATATCTAAAAGCACGAATCTGTGGCTGCCTCCTAACTTAGCTGCTAGCTGTTAGCATAGCCTTAGCCACGGTGAAAGCAGCTACTTTCCTCATTTGTGGCGATGGCTTGCAGTTCTTGTTTAGATTTTTTCACGTATCTCTACTAGACAGACGTGTCCATCAATTAGAAACAGATTGTTAAAGTTAATAATATCCACAAAGATGCTACAGTACTCCCGATAGCGTTACCCACAAGCTCAGAGGCACAGCAAACCTCTTGGTGAGAGCCTTAGCCGAGCACTATCAGCAAAATAAGCTCCGGTTGGACTGACGCCGACCATTTTTTGGGAATATTTAGTGTATCGTTGAACACTGGGTGTGTTTGTGGAAGATTGCAGTGTTTCTTACAACTTCTATAGTATGTGCGACTTTATCTAATTCACCAGAACTGCTCGGTTCTGTCTCCGTCCGTAAACAGTAGCTTCAGTGTGGATGGCTATTACTTGTGAAGAGCCAATCAGACGGCGCTGTGGACGGGATGCTGCTTGATATCAAAGAGCCATTACAAACAGAAAGCGGTGCTAAAGTAGAGCATTTAATTGATTTTTTAAAATCCTCGCTTAATAAAAATAACAAAGGCTGAGAGTCGGGGAAATGGCCAAATATTTACCCCGATACTTGGTTGATCCCTCGTAGATTCAACAGAAAAAAATGACGTTCACACATTAGGAAAAAGACAATCAAGTGTGATACTTACATATATCAACAACAGGGTACTCTGGTGTGTTGCTGCGTTCTCTTTCCCTGTCCCTCTCCTTCTCATCTCTGATGGGTCGCCAGGAGCCGTCTGTTAAGTATTCAATCTCCTCAATGTCCTCGCTTGTCTCCTTCAGAATCTCAGATAACAGCCTGAAATGCACACTGCTGGTTAGAGGCAGCTCACAAAGCAGATTTTACACGTCAAGTAAAGGGACAATCCAGGACTCTAGCAGAGGTCTGAATTAGTTGAATCTTGTAGTTTTTGGTCCATCCTGCATTCAACGGATCTTGTCTGTCATTCTGCATCTACAAATTATTTTGCCATGCAGACCATTTCTCTATAATCTTGATCATTTACATTAAATAACAAGGTATTATTCAAATTGTGCTCCATGAGCAAATTAACAAAAACACCCTTAAATCCTTCCCCCTTCCTTGTTATTCCCCGAAATTCCAACCAACGTGTAGTAATTGAGCGGATAAAACCTAAACTTAGATCAGTTAAAGTAGGGACTTTCACACAAGCTTAATTTAAGGAATTCAAATCTACCTCGCAGCCAAAGTGCAGCACAATACTTTTACTCATAGGGGAAGTAAGGGAGTGCCTGTGAGCGCTGCTTATCATTTGCAGGAACTTACATGCCCAAACTGTTGTGGATGAAAATACCTTATCAAGAAGTGTTATGATAAAACGGACTCATCAGTGTCTATGAAGGATTTGCTATTGATCAAATATTTAAAAGAAAAATCACAACAAAAACCCCTGAAGACTGATATATATTTTGCACCTATAGCGAACAGAGCATTTTACGCTGCCAATAAATTAGTCTAGAAGTCTTAAGAGTTGCTTGCATTGCCTAAAAAAAACAAACACATGCTGAGTCTTCTTCAGTCACATGACTACATGGTTCACTACAACTTTGCCAAATAAAACAGTTCAAAGAAAAACAAGGCACTTTACAGGACTACTACTGTTGAATTGTAACATGACAGCTGTTGCAGAAACACAACAGATAACTACCCTGTCATGACATGCAAAATATTCAAAACTATTAAAATGGAAACTCAATACTCTGGCGCATGGTTCAACATGTATCAAGACCTATAAAACATCTGTGCAGTTCAATTTATTTTCCTCCACGCTGACTTTAACATACAGTTATAGTTAAAGTTACACATTGTATATTTTCAAAATGTATTGAAAGGAAGATGGTGCTGCAGGGGTGGGACGAGTCAGAGCACGACTCCGTGTACTCACCCATCAATGGTGAGCAGCTCAAATGGAGCGGGTTTGTCACAGACGGGGCAAGTCCATGTGGGCTTCTTCTCGTTCATCTGCAGGAAGAAGACTGCGTCGAAACACTGGAGATGAGCACAAGTTAACACTCGGCATGGCACGCCAAGCCGCATCTTCACCAGCTGGGAAAGAGAGAGGAGAAGAAGATGGATGTTAGATAAATATTTTGGAAACTTGTCACGGCTAAAAATGTCCGGTTCGAGGAAGATGGACTCACTGGACAGATGAGAGAAACTCGGAGGCCTGTGGTCGCGATTTCGCTCTCTGGGTCAAAACGTAGTTTGTCTTGGACTGCAGATAAATGGTAGGTAAACAGTTACGACGACATGTGGCAATATTGGAAACTCAATACACAATGCGGTCTTATCAGGACAGAGTTAACAAAAGGCTCACAGCCAATGACTTCCAGAGACAACACTGAAGTGACAATGTGTGTTTCTCATTTCATTCCCAGTGTTTCATAATGTATAGGCACCACTTACTGCGTTCACGACAGCGTTCTGCACTCTCAACGGAGCAGAGCTTGAGTTGGCTGAAGAGGTCTGCTGCGGTGAAGACCCTCACTAAATAAACTGCCACAGAGTACCGCTGAAAACACAGATTCACATGTTGTGAGCATTACATCAATGAAGGAACCCACTGAAAATTGAGCAATGACAAACTAAAGTTTAACACAAGATTTATCACGGTGAGAGGTCACCTTCCTCTGCTTATGTTGGAGGAAGGACTATGGAAAGTCTAGACTGGAAGCATCCTGATTGATGATGGACAACCTCTCACATTTAGTGGGCCTATTAATAAAACCACATAACACAGAAAAACCTGACAGCAGATCTATTTTATTAAAGAATGTCCACTATCTTACAGAACTTTGTTAAAATTGATTCAACCCTAAGGGAATGTTAAAGAAAAACATTCAAGCTTTAATACAAACATATCTCTTTGCTTAAATAGTCTTAAATTTCACTGGTTTGAGTTCCTTAAAAAGCATTTCTTCTGGGCCAAGCACTAAGTTATGGACTTGCATTGACTGAGTATGCTAAGGAGTCACATTTTTTATTCCTGTGTTACATAACAAACAAAGTTTTCATCTTCATTGACTTGTTTTTTCAGCTTGAAGTAACATATAATAAAAACACCATCTTAGGCTACGTTTAGTTTTAACTTCAAAGTTGTTCATCTTTTACTGGCTTACAAAACGGCACTTAAAAAAAAAAGGTGCCACCAAGACAGAGAGTCTATTTATTAATGTCCCAGCTGCTTATCTGGATGAGATTGATGATTGTAGAGGCAACAGCCTTTAAGGAGTTATACCACACACAGCTGAGTGGGACCCACAGTGCTAGTCCCAGCATGCCTTGCTGGAGGCTGGAATCTGCCAAAAGGAGGTGGACAGCTTTTTTCTTCTTTTTTTTTTTTTTTTGAGGGGAATCTAGGTTGCTCTACTTGCCCCTTTGCCACCATGACTCTGAGATTCAGCATTTAATTCTGACCTTGCCAAAGTTTCCCCAGGTGATGGTGACTCTGTTGGTGACATTGGAGAGATGCAACCAGGGAGTGATGTTTACAGGACGACAAGGACGACGAGGCTCAACACCAGGCTTATTAGAGGGGTAGTATCCCTGTAAACAGGCAGAATGGGAAAATAACATTTTAAAAACGTAAGCAAATACATAATTAGCTAAAATCAAACAGATCTGAAATCCTTCTAGATGACTTTGTTGTACACTCATTTTCAAACCATGAGGCTCAACATTACAAACACAAAAACATACAAAATCATTTTGTTGTGAAAGTTCAAATGGAAGAAGCTCAGGTCTCTACCTTGGGCAAAACAAAAAGAAAAGTTCTGAGCTCCAACCAAGCTGGATTCGGATGTTAGATTACAGTGACTTTCCTTTTGCTCTGCATATGTTTGTTGAGTTATACGCAGCTAAAAACAAAAGAAAAGCCAAGTTCTACTAAATTATACACCAGTGCCAGTACTTGTTAAAATGTGAGCTGAGCTGATGCATCTCCAGTTACTGGTCCTTGTGGATTCCATTTGAAATAATGGGCCTATCTGGTGTTAACATATTAACAATGACGTTCGTGTGCTGCATCATTTTCTATTTACACAGAAGTAAACAGAGTAAAAATAGGAGGAGGTAGGAGGAAGGAGGAAGGAACAAATGGTGCTGCAAAATATCATACTTCCTTTCTTCTTCTGGCAGTTTGTGCAGGTCTAGAAAACATTTAGCCCAACATTTATCAAATTGCACCTCCAGATGATTAGCTGCAATACACTGATTCATCTGCGGATTATTTTCTCAAATAATTGATTCACAAAACAGTGAAAATGATGCATTCAAGTCTTGAGTCTTTTTTTAATCTGACCATTGGTTCAGCCCTAAAATATTCCATTTAAAATAATAATAAACAGTGAAAAGCACAAAATCCTACAGCTGACAAGATGAACACAACAGTTTTGTTCTTTCTGGTTTAAAAATGACAAATTCTCCACAAAGTATCAAAACATTCGCATTAATCAGCTCATCATTCTCCATCCAGCTCTTAAATACATGTTTGGATGATATACCACAAAAACACAGCGCATTAAAATCACCCTTTATCTGCTATCACTGTGTACTTATTACCTTTGTTATTACATCTGAGTAATGTGGCTGAACAATAAGACGCTTAAAAAAGGCACTGACTTATCACACAGTCTCAGGCTACTCTCATCCGCCATTGCCGCTACTACATTTACTACCACTACTTCTGCATTTCATCAGAAAACTGTTGTGCTGTAATTTTTTCCGTCTGTCCAAGCTCTGACATCAGAGTTTGGTTATCAACTTGGGTTGAACAATAATATCAGCGCGTCATTGGGATTGACCAACGTCAGGCTAAAACGTTTACAGTTCTGTTTGAAGTTGCAGTAATCTTATTATTATGACTCGTGAATGAATACAGAAAAGGTGTCTGCACCTCCCACTGAATCATCAGGACACACTTTATGTTCGATGCAGTCAGAACAAGAAAAAAGCATCTATCAGTATTACCAATCAGCCTAAATCAGTTGGAAAATATCCAACGCACATATTCAAAAAACCAATCCCTACTATCAACAGGAACCTTCTTCTTCTTCTTCTTCTTTTTTTTAAATGCAAGAAACTACTAAATTCCCAATTCTGTCTTTCCGGTTCAGTTTGCTGACTGTACACTTTGTCAACACAACAGTGGAGCAATCCCTTGTTTGGATGCTAAAGCTTCTCACCACTACATGAATGCACAACAACACAACAATAAGCCACACAGAGACTTGCAGCTGGAGAGCTTCCTACTCAAATGTTGCCAGGTTTGTTGATGCCTTCCTGTTTGCTAACAACCACATTACCTGTGCCTGGATATTCTTGTTTTTTTCTTCAATGTAGACCTAAACCAGGTGGGTTTATCGATCACTATCATATACTAGACACTAGCTAAGCTGGGGCCAGGCTGTCAGTGATTTGTTTGGAAACAAATGTCTTACAGCAATGACTGAGGAATTTCTTCAACAGGAACACAAGACCAAACCCAGCTTTTGGTATGTTTGTATTCTGTAGGTGTGGCGAACCTCAGAGTGAATCAACTCACCGGCACATGACAGTAGGACTGGTTGACTTTGACAGCAATGTTGGGAGGATACTGGTCCTCCTGAACACCAATAGAGTCTGTGTAACAGATTCTGCAATAAAGAGGAATAACAGAGAGAAAGCTTAGTGCCACACGAATGACTCACTATTTGGCCACTGAGGAGGACTGAACCTGTATCTGTCAGGTCTTGTAATAAAAATAAATGAATGAGATCACATCACATGTGAAATTCCAACCCTATATATACGTGCATGATAAAACATTTTTTTCCTCTTAGTCATTCTTTTGCATCTGTGGGAGAAGTTCTTATTAACAGCACAGTCACTGGAGGGACCAGATCATTCCAGAAAAGAGGACCTCGAAACATTTATTAACCATTAATTCAGTACGGTTCATTAGGAATCACTGGGAACTTACCTAAGAACCACCTGGATCGATCGTATTCCTGGACGAAGCTCACTGAGAAAAGAAAAGGTCACAAATTGAAACAGACATATTTGTAAATCAAACTAGTGTTAACTGAAAGATCTGGGAGGTAGCGCTAGCTTCTTTTTTTTTACCTTGCATTTCTGATCTGGTCTGCTTGGTTCGGTGTTAACTCAAAGATGCATTGACTGTCCTGCAGTTTCTCATTGTTCTGGGCAACTGTAAACAGATAAAGAAAAAATCCATCATAACGGCACAAAGAATTCTCAAAAACTGACAATGATTTAAACAGAAGGACAAAAAAATAAAATAAATTCTGCACTCACTTAGCTCTGTTGGTGGCAGCAGCGTCTCCAAAGTTTGGTAGAAGGGCAGTGGTACCAGCTTGACCTCTGCTGCAGGTGTGGGGATTGGTTTGGAAATGCCGTTGAGGTAGTCTGCGCCCTGAGAGGTGGCAGTGGGGGAAGAGCTGAGAGATGAGTAGGCAACTGGGACGCCCTCTGGACGCCTTGCCGCCAGCCAACCAGATGTTTTGGGGAAACGTGACTCATAGAGTTGCCTGACGTTCTTCAGCAGCTCCGGGCTGTACTCGGTCTGCACCAGCCTCAACGCGCGCCCCACCAGGTCCTGCTTCAGCCCACTTTTGCTGCGACCCATTGAGGCCAGCAGCGTCTGCAGGTCTGAGACCCGGAAACTTTTGACCATGTTCTGGAGGGAGGACAAGATAAGAATATGAGAAGCAGAACACAAAGACAAAGAAACATTTCTCTAAACTATTGGAGATTTATTTTAACATGTTATTTCCTGTCAGGACAAAAGGCACAGTTTACCAGTGGTTCCCAGGCTAGAGAATACATTTAATAACATTTTTGTTTAAACTCTGATAAGTTTCTTAAATAAATATATCGAGTTCTCTGGAAAACCCCATCAAGACAAATTGCAAAATTCAATATCCTGTGGAAAGTCCCACATGCAGCACACCTGGAAAATTTGTAACCCAGCAGGATCCAAACAATTATTTACCATTAACTCATGTGCAGCGTTCAACATGACATAGGAGTCCATCAAACTGTTTGATACCTGCTAAAATTAGCATTTGTCCTTGGTCACTTTAATCCTACAGAGGCCTGAAACTGCCTTGTAATTAGCTGGCTATATTAAGAAGACACATCGCTGCTTATTCTGATCGCCTGCATTAAGGCTGAGTCACTGTTCTTAAATTGTGTTAACGTTAATAAAACTTTATAGTCCAAAATCTGCAGCAGCAAATCACTGTCTAACCATCTAACCCATAAAGTCATGTGTGACACAAACAAACATGCCTAAAAAGTAAAGGCATGAACACTTTTGACTGTGATTTGAATATTCAATCATAAAAAAAAGGTTAAATGGACAAAGAAGTGTGTGGTAAAACTTCTCATTCATTTCTAAGAGTTCACCATGTGAATTTATTCATTTAGAGCTTAATCTGTTTACTGTCTACATTTAATGTAGCACTTAGCTGCTCCAGCAAAATGCACTTTTATTTTTGAACTTCTCCTGATGGGCAGCATGTTTATCAAATGGTTCCTAAGCATTCACTGTTTCCCTGTTTAATATCACTTGCATCAACTGCGAAAGGCTGAGGACAGACTTGTTTGTGCAGGAATAACCATTCATATGTAAGCAGAAGAAAAACCATCACGAGCTTTACTCACTGAATACACAGAAAGTGTGGTCAGCACGTAAATCTCCTACACTCGCCAAAATGTGTCCTTGTTTTCATGAGCTACACTAAACTTGTACACCTTTTTTTTTTAAAAAACAAAAAACAAATGGAATGTAAAGACAAACCGCACAACTAAAGACATATAGCCCGTATGAGGATGTTTATATGACAGGCTGAGAACTTGACTGAAGAGCAAAACACGGAATGTTGTTGTTACTGGAAAAACCTGAGGCGTGCGACATGCTTCGGATTCATCTGATATTTCTGAGTTGAACATCATTGAACAAATGCGTTTGTGTCTAGATTAAATTCGCACAATACGGTCGCTGTCCATTGTGCTTTTCTGATGGACAAGCTGTGCAAAACTGCAGCCATACATTCAGCAACGTTGCAGTCCGGCGCTCAGCCTCACTTGAACATTGCCATTGTAGCCTGCGCTATCGGCAGGCTAGCTTCTCCACAGACCGGGCTGTCGGTATTCAATCATGGCTACTGGACGTTTTGACAGGTGCACAGCTCCACAAACTAACCGGCTAACTACATTCAGACGTTACTGTAAGACGAATAATATCAAATGGTAACATGCCAGGAAGCACGCCAGCGGCAAACCCTCAGATGCTTGTATGGTCGCATCATTCATTTTCGATGTCTCCCCTCAGAGCCAGCGTGATGCTAGCTAAACCAACGCACTTGCCTAGTTAAATTACCTAGTCGGCTAGCTAAGTTAGCACCACGGGCTACTTGGTTTCGTCGTGATTTCAGTGCCCCACATTTGTGGGAATAAACACGCTTAACAGTATTCACACAAAGCCCCCGGTTCCCCCACGACCGGGGTGAGTTTCAGCCCACACTCCCGCGCCCGTCTCCCATCAAACCAAAGCCAGCCAAGCTCTACTTGCCATCGCTTCCACCAGTTCGGCCGCCATCTTCGTGCAGCAGTACCGCGAGAGTCAGAGACGACGGCTAGTCTTTCACCAATGAAACGCCGAGTCTGCTTTGATTGATGGGCCGCCACGGCCAATCACAGCGCGGGTTTGACCGGAGCCCGAAGCGCTACATTCGAAATGGGCGGGACCCCCGTTATTTAAAGTCACAGTGCAACTTTTTAAAAACACTAAGAGGCAGGTCCCTTTTCCAAAACAGGCCTCACCAGCCAATAACGGCACCACATGCCGTGATATTTTGATATTCGTGGTGTTTCAGTTTTATAATACTGCGGTATCGTGAAGGTGAGGGTTAAATAATGTTTAAATACAACGTGGGCGAAAAGCATGGAGTGTCAAGTGGACCGGGTCGCATGGTCCGTTCAATTCCCGTCCGAGCGAAAAATTCCGGTTCAGCTTCTGCGTCCAGCCGAGAGATGTGGAGTTGATGCTTTGTCTAAGGTGTGTTCATAATTGAATTAAAACGAGTAATTACCAAAATATAAACACACATCAAGGTAAAAACCAGCCACATTCCGCCGGTTACACAAAGACCACGTTGTGTCACCACGTTAGAAAAAATGTAAATGAGTGTTTTTAGGACAAATGTAGAATCCCTGCGGTGATCCAGGCCTGCTTTTCCACAAAGCTCCTCATATGTGGGCAAAGAATAGCCTCATGGAAACACAAAAATCAATTGAGGGAATTGCAGTATCATGTAATTACATGGTGTGTTTTGTTTTGGCGTTACTTTGGATGTGAAACGTCAATAAAACAATGCCGCATTTTCAGAAAGAGCAGCTGCCCTTGTCATTCTGCTGATTGATAGAAAAGACTCTTCATGTTTAATATCTTATATTAACACATTTGCAAAGATAAGACTCTATTAGTTCAGCTATTCATACGCCTGATTCAATTTAATTCACACACGCAAACCCAAATTACAACTTGGAAATTTCTCTACAATACATATTCTCTTCTTTCTTTCTTTTCTTTCCTTCTTTGTTTTTTCTTTTTTAACAGATCTGACATTGGTTTATGCTTTTTAGTAATAAACCGTAAGTCTGCATGTAAATTAATATAACTACGTAGAATGTATAAGCCTTACAAGACAGCATACATTATTGCTCAGTGCTGTGCATATATTTCTTGTTACATTATTTAAACAGAAGAGGGCAACATGGTCCATGATTTGACCCGACTCATTTAATTCGTCTCTTGTGTGTTAAACCTGCAGAACAAAGCAGATCTATGTAGATTCTGTACTGTTGGTGTTATGTGGACTAAAGTGATAAATGTTTCTTTTAATTATCTCTCATGTGGAGGTTATTCATATCTCTACAACTCCACAGTCAGCAAACCCATCAGGATAAACTCATGCACATAGACGCTGTTAAACATAGACTTTTATTTATGTCAGATCCCAGAGATTTTAGGAATATAAAACATGGCGACATCAATTTTCCATTTGATGTGAAAGTGGCATCTTGAGTTTAAACATTTCATACAGTGCAAGTGTGATGAAGCTTCACTCAAGCAGGAGAATACATAGATACAGAATGTGTATGTAATGCTGTGTTTTTATTTATTTTCAAATATTTTATTTTACTTTGATTAGGAAATTGAATTCAAGTGGTTAAATAGTTCTAAGTTTTAAAATGGATTGTGCTTCAGGAAATCTTACAGTTGTTCAAAAACACACAAAGAGCCTTTGTGTTCCTTCACTGTAAAGACTCAGTTAAAAGTGCAAATTCTGTTTATTAAAATGTAATCGTACCAATGTCATGTAAAGATACAACCCACAACTTTAAAGATCACTTTATAGTCATTCAGAGTTTGGCTGTGTAGATATTTGGCCAGCACATCAGGGCATAAAAAAGGTCCAGTGCCACTTTACTGTTGACATTACAGCATCATCACAAACAGGCACAATTCATACAAGTCATAGACATCAAAAAATACTAAAACAGTACCATAAAATTTATTCATACCTGGCTTATGTTCCATTAAGTCCTTGTAGCAAAACTTACAAATGACACTGAATTAAATTTACAGTTAAATTCAACACAGAAATTAAGTAATTTTGAGTGCTGATATATTTTGAGAGCTCCATGAAACAACTGTTCATGTCGAGCCAGATGGTAGCTTTTAATTTGAAGAAAAAAAAAAAACGACCTTAAATAGCCAGTAACACATCAAACACAATTTAAAACACAATATAATACAATGTTGTATCCAGAAGCAGTTCAGTGTAGATTTTCTGTGATAGATCAATGATTATATTTGCTCAACTTAAAAAAAAAAAAAGACACGTAAAAAAGCCTAAATTCCTCCTGCTAATAACAAAGACAAAATTGATATAATAATAGGTAAAAATTGGAATAAAGATTACAGTAGATGTGATTTTTAAAAAGGTTCATTTCAACAACAGGACATGAAATCTAATTTTTCATTTGTATCTGTTACTGTTCTGTTACCATGTGGCTGCACAATATGTGAATGTTCTTCCCCCTCCCAAAAAAAAGACATGTGTGAACTCCAAAACACCAAACTTGAGCCATTAATTACTGCTCTATGGTAATTGAAGTAAATCTTTGGACAGTATCCCGGACAAAACTACTTTAACAGGATAACTCGGGCATCTAAAAGGCCTTTGATTCTACAGCATGCATCCCCTGCACACCATGTCTTACTAAATCTTGAGTGTTTAATCTCCCGTAATTACAAAGATTTGCTTAGGTTAATAAAAATAATCCGCCTCAATTGAGACCCCCTACCTGGACCTCCCCTGTGCCTTCTTGGCCCCTTTCTGTGAGGGATAAATTCACAGTCATATAAATACAGTCACCTTGAAGCACAGCTCCGTGATTCGGGAGCAAAAGGCTGTTGGATACCCGAGAAAGAGGTTTTGGCAGGTTTGTCAGAGAGTCGAAGACTGTTTGCTTAAAATTTGTTGGCAAACAAAGTGGCCGCATTTAGTCGTGCAGACTGACGTCATTTCCACGAGTTGAGACGGTGTCACTCTTTAGCGCATCAAGGTTAACAACAGTTGAGAGGCTCATCGTTATCTGTGATCTTGTCAACAGTAAGACTTTGGCGAAAGAATCGAGTGGCACCGAGGCGTTTTACTTTATGAAAGGTCCTAATTTTTTAAAGGAAAATAGCCATGCTGTGAAACTCAGACACACCCAACTCTGAGAAGACTTTCGGAAGAGACATTTTTCCATTCATGACTTCAGACCTCTTCAACAGTCAGTGTGGAGCCAATAAAACCTCTGCAATGAGTCTGAGATATCTTAATTCAGAAATGACAATGGAGGACAGGAGCAGCCGCAACGGAAGCAGAGAAAGGCTCGGACTGAGCTTCACTATCGACTACCTTCTGTTCAATAAAGGAGTCAAAGGTTTGAAGGAAGAAGGAAGTCGTGCCGCAGAGCAGACAGAGAGCAACATGCTAAATCATCACAATCCTAAACCCGAAGAGGTGGGGATTCGCCGCGAGACTCAGGAGAAGCGTCTACAGAGGTCAGACACTGGGAAAAGGATAGTCAAAGAAGAGGAGGGGGATGCAGAGCGACAAGAGGAGGGGGAGGAGGAAGTGACCACCACCACCACCACGTCCACCGGCAGCAGCAGTCCTAAGAAGTCTGTGGACAAACCCAACCAGTCGTACATCGCGCTCATCTCCAAGGCAATCCTCGCGTCCGAGCAGAAGAAGCTACTGCTGTGTGACATCTACCAGTGGATCATGGACCACTACCCTTACTTCAAGAGTAAAGTATGTTCATGTCAGTCTTGTTGTGTTCTTTCTGTTTGTGTGGCAGCCACAGATCAACACGTTGTCGTGGAATGAGTCGGAAAGCAAAATTGGATGATGTATAGTTCTCGGTACAGACGTTAGCAATCTGAGAAAGTGTTCCCCCCCAAAAAACACAGATATCAGGATAGCGGGACAGATATCGAGGCAGCACGTTTTTCTTGAGGTGTTTAATTCGGTTGCGATAAACAAGAATGCGGCAGCCATTTTCGCATGCGAAGCGACCTACTTGGCGTGCGTAATCTGTCTGAGTGGTTAGACAATTAGGTGCTCGCGGGGACACTCGATGATCTTGTTGTTGGCAAATTGGCAAATAAAGTAATCCTGTTGCTAGGTTGCAAACTGCTCCTGCCTTTTACCAGGTGCTGCAGCAGATTGGACGTAGCCTAGGGGATTAAAGTCGATCGCTGGTGCTAGAAAGGTAACTCGGGGTGTCGTGTCTTGCTGCGATCATATGCGTTGTTGACAAGCTATGGCGCGTCCTGCCAACAACAAGCAAGGTGACGTCCCGAAGAGGATCAGCGATACTTAACAGCCACCTATGTTTATTTTCCACCCATTGTTTGACTCCTAATTAACGTGTTGCTTTCGTCCTAACCACCTTTATCTTCTTTACTTGCACCAACAGGATAAGAACTGGAGAAACAGCGTGCGTCACAACTTGTCCCTCAACGACTGTTTCATCAAAGCAGGCCGAAGCGACAACGGGAAAGGCCACTTCTGGGCGATTCACCCGTCGAACTATGAGGACTTTTCTAACGGGGACTACCACTGCCGGAGGGCACGGCGGAGGGTACGCAGGGTGGCGGGACAACTTCCTCTTTCCTCCCTGGCCTCGCCCTACCACCCTGCCCTCAGCAGGCAGCACAGACCAACCTGCTGGTGCTGTCCTCCGGCCCCAGCGATCCCTCTGTCCTGCTTGGCCCCCAGACTCTACTGGCCCTGGTCCGGCTTGCAGCCACAAGTGGGGCTCCACCTGGGCCTAAATGCCTCTTTACCTTGAGAGTGAATTTGTTTGTACTGTTGTGGTATCATATATTTACAGTTTGGCCCTGGTTACTATTGGCTAAACTCTAGAATCTTATGCTAATGATTATATCATTAGAAGATGTTAAAACTGAAAAAGACTTGGTCAATATTCTGCTTTATAAGTAAGAACAAAGGGATTTTTAGGATGCTAATGATTTGCTAAAATGTATGAATCTTTCAAAGCTGTTGCACTTATTTGTATTCTGAATGTTTTTAGAATAACAAAATGCAATGTTTTGTTATAATCGCATTAAATAATATTGAATTAAACACCATGTGTGTTGTGTGTGTGGTGCCCACTTGTGCATGTGAGTGCAGCTTTTGCTAAAAGTGAGCCCAATGCTAAAATACCTCCCGGTGTTAGATGCTAATTAGTCAAAGCTGTCGGGATGTAAAATCTTCTGCCTTAAGAGACTAAAATCGGGCTTTCCAAAGCCGACTCCCAAGGAAATGAGGCCAGATAATCTCGGCAATCCCAAATAGTTTCAAGAAATAGGAAGCTTATCACACAATGTAATCCGCAACCGCTGCTGCAGAAAGAGGGGGACTGCGGGAGGTCGAGGATGAAGGGAGCGGAGGAAAGGGAAGGAGGCCCGAGGGGAGGGAGGGGATTTATTGGAGAGAGGTGGAAGGGGATTTTAAGGACTGTACGTGCAGATGAATCAGTCAAGGTGGATAATTAATGCAAGTAGAACACTGATATATATATATACATACATACAGATAAACTAAAGGAAAAAACAAACATCAGGTGTGTGGTTATGGTGTTCAGAATTGTTCTATTGCATTTTAGCACTGATTCTCTGGAATTCTACTGATGGGATGAAACACATTTTCCCAAAAATATAATACCTCATTTTGTGTTTTGACGATGGTGGTAAAGACATAAAATGCCCTCAGTTTGAAATAGTGCAGAATCTTAAATATTTCCTCCTCTTAGTCGACTCTTGTATTTTCTCGATCCTCAGACTTTTTGATTATTGCCAGATTTACATGAAAGTACCACAGATTGTTGATGTGATGCCAGACTTTTGGACCCCACTTAATACAGAGATATGTGACAAATTAAAGGAAAAAATCCCAACATGACGTGCTTTAATAAGGTTTTAGGCCACCACGTGCTGCCAGAATAGCTTCAGTGCATCTTGGCATTGATTCTCCAATTCTCTGGATCTCTACTGGAGGGATGAACTCCATTTTTCCAAAAGATATTCCGTCCCTGACCTTCAGTTTGGTTGAAATCTGGTGGCTGTGAGAGCCAAATTCACAAAATTTTCGTCAAACCATTTAGTTCCACATGGATGGAGGCATTATCTTGGAAAGACCACTCCCATCAGGACAGAAATGTCACTCAGACCAACTTTGCATTGATTTGTAGTGACTCTTCCATCTAAGAGGACATGTGGACCCAAATCAAGCCAGCAAAATGTACCAAACAGCACAACGGAGCCACCAGGTCCCGTCACTCTCAGGGCTTACAGGTCTGGATTTTTCCTTTAATTTGTCACCTGTCTGTATCTGATAAAGTTTTCTGTAAAAGACATACAAAGTCACTGACAAAATGAGAGCAGTTATGGAAGCTGTCAAAAATCTTTTAAAAAAAGATTAAATTCACCCTTAAAACTGCAGGAAAATCAGCTTTCTTATGACATGACCCCTAAACATTGCCACAAAAGGAATCAAGTCAATTTTTTTACCTGTCCGGCTCGACATCAATAGTGAAATTCCTCTCTGGCTTGCAAAGGTTGGCATTTACATCCACAGTGCCTCAGCCTAAGAGGATTAGATCATACATTGACTTTTCTGAAGTTTGTTTGTCTCCGCTCATGTGGGCTTCTTATTTGCAAATTATTGAATATTCGAATAAGGCAATATTTGACATTAAATTAGGTCCTGAATGGACAAACAATATGTCAGAGGGATAAAGCCTGCGAGAGGCCGAGAGAGCAGGTGTTACTCACAACAGTTATTTTCCGGCGATGTTCATTAGAACAACGACAGATCCGGCTAATTAATTTTTTGCTCGCCAAATCTTCCTATTCAATGTCAGCAGCTAATTGGAGACCTAATTTGCTTAATTCCCATGAATTGGTCTCCGCATCAAATCCTCTTCAATTCACCAGCTTTAAGGCTTTAATTTTGGTTGCATATGTTTGCTGTACACACACACACACACACACACACACACACACACTGACACACGGACACACAAGCGTGCAAACACACATACAGTTGTGTAATTTTTACATTGAAAAAACCACAATAAATGCAGAATAATAAAACTGTGGAGCTTGCAGAGTTATAATAGTGTGTTGTGCTGTTTTGTGTTCTATGTTTGAAATCATATACAAGCAAACAGCATATTTTTTTAAGTATGTTTTCTGCTCTTTCCTTTTAAAATATTGTAAATAACATCTCTTATGAGTCACAAAATCAAAATATAATTAGCAGCGTTTTTAAGGAGAATCAGATTGGGGTCATGAGCTCTGTGTGTGTGTGTGTGTGTGTGTGTGTGTGTGTGTGTGTTCATATGTGCATGAGGTTTTGTTAATCTAATGAGATGGGCGGACGGGTGCAGGGGGCCGTAGATTAAGGCCCAAAGATTTGTTGCTGATTAGCAGAGAGTGAGGTAAGAAGATCAGTCCTGCTGAGATGGCGATGAAACATTATGGCTGCGCTTTAATGCAACACATTTGCAGCAGCATTCCAAAGCTACTTTAGCCTTTAGCTTACATGTATCTCATTGATTCGACTCTGGATGCAACGTACAAAAGTTGACGCAACACGGGATGAAACCCAAACAGATCAAAGGGATACACACGAAAAACGGGATGTTACCATCAGTTCAGTGCAGGTCATCTTGATCTAAAGCTTGTAACTACGACTGTGTGCGATATGAAGAGTGTTTTTAAAGATTGCATTAGCAGCTCTGAAAAAAAATCATTAATCCCAGCGATTTATGTTAAGGGAAGAACTCGTTTTCTCTGCTTTTTGTCCTAATGACTCATTTATATTGTGTTACGTTCACTCACTAACCACTACAGTCTAGAAAATAATGTTTGGGCTCAATAGATAAAAAACAACACAACAGTTTGCATCAATTTTTTTTGGACAACTTTGAATAAAATTATGTTCAAGCAACAAGCTGCACTGATTTGAGGGAAATTAGCTTTTTCTCTACAATCAAATTATTTTAATTTCCAGTCTAACCATTTAAAACCACCCAGGCATGTTAAAACAGAGAAGAAAAATAAAGCTCTCAAGTCAGTTTCTTTAAGCTACCGCAACCTGAATTTAGTTTTAAATAAACTAATGCAGAAATATGAGTTTAGACACAATGCTAAATTGATGCTACATTATAATACCAATCCAGCCTATCAGAATAATGTCTGCAACTTAAAAGGTTAACCTAAATCCACAAATTGACATTTTTATCCTCTATTTAATTAAATGTGTGGGAACAGGTTCCTCAAACTACTTTTTAGAGAGACATTTAGCCCGAAATAAAGTTCTTACCTGCTTGACTTTCAATAAAGTTCAATTTTACTTCAATTTATATCCAAAATTCAGTGAAGAAAATATCTGAATGCTTGAACAAGTACATTTAAAACATGAAAACAATGTTTTTCTAAAATTGTGGACCTGTATTAGCTTTGGTAAATAGTCAGTTTAAATGTTTTTAAATCCATCATATGTATTAATTTATTTTTGAGGTGTTTGGCTGAAATGGAGACCTGACTTTACACAAACATTTATCTATTTTTCGGGGTTCACCTGCTGCTATTCAGCTGGGTTTTAGCGCCGGATTAGTGGCAGAGCTAGTTGAGTAATTCAAACCTAGCGACCATCCACTTAAATAAATGCAGGGCTGCAAGATAAAAGGTCTAACTTATTGATTTAGATCAACCTTTCAAGTTGCAAACACTATGATGATGAGGTGGGTTGGCACAACAATGTTGGTAAACTTAATATTGTGTGTAATTTAAACTCACATTTCTGTATTAGTTGATGAAAAACTACATTCAAGTTGCGGTAACTTCATAAAATTGGCTCGATAACTTCATTTTTCTTCACCTTGACAGCTCCCCTACGTATTTAACACTGGAACAACGTAATGTTACCTAATTTTTAATGTGTATTCAACTTTTAAAAATGATGTTTATGCTACCAATCTTCATGTATGTGACAACAGATTAATCTTTTAAGTTGCTCATATTATTTTGATGGGCTGGGTTGACATAATAATGTTGCATCAACTCACTGTTGCCTGTAATTTCTGCATCAGTTGATTTAAAACTAAATTCAAGTTGATGTAACTTGAAGAAATGGGCTTGTTCACTTTATTTTTCTTCATCTTGAGTTCAGGATTTCAAGTCCTAACCCTACTCAACACTGGAGCAACTTAATGTGTTAAATCTGCCAACTTTTAAACGTTTGTTTAAAATTACTGTAATTAAGTATGTAAGACTTAACATTTCCTGTTAAATAATTTATGAATACTACTTGGAAAAAGTTGATTTTTACAAGTAATCAACTTAAAAACCTGCGTTAATGCTAGAAATAATCAAGCAAGTTGTAAATATATCATTATTTTGATGGGTTTGGTGACATAATGTTGTTTGTTGACTTAATATTGTGTGTAATTTTAAACTAAGATATTCTGTATGACTCTATAACTTAATTTTTCCTTCATCTTGAGGTCACGATTTTAAGTCTCCTCCTGCATTTTAACATGCTTGGTCAATTTAATTAAACATACATTTGATTAAAGAGGAAAAACTCAGTGTAGTTTGTTGGTTGGTTGAACATAATTGCATTAAAAGTTGAAAAAACTCAAAAACATTCACTGTAATTTGTACACTTCTTAAAGTGCCAAAAATGGGACTACATGGCAGTCTAAAGAAATTAAAGGACAATCTTGTAATATGTAGAACAAAGTCTTTACCATCTGTTTGACTTTATTGACTTAATTAT